GTTTGTTTTAAAGACTATTTAACAAACTTTATGAAACAAATTCTTTTATTTTAAAAATCAACTTCTTATTTACTTAATTATTAAAAGAAATAGCTCGATTTATTTTTTTAAATAAATTTTATTTACAAAATCTTTTACTTTCTTTTTCAAAATTCTGAATTAAGTTTTATCTTACAAGGACATCTTTTCTCTTTTTTCTTTTTTTTTAATATCTCCTTTTTAAAACTTGCAAGTAAAAAATAATATTATTTTTAAGACGAATGTTATTTACCAAAAAATTTACTTTATTTTTCAAAATTTATTTAAACATTATTAAAAGGCTTCCTTTCTAAAACTAAAAAAATCGAATCTCCGAAATGATGGAGTTCGCCAGAGTTTGTGTGAGGCTACTTGGAAAATGTTTTGGGACGTCGTGGCCAGAGTGTTGTCGCGCAACCGTTAGAGTTGGCGCCACCAGGACTTGACTATGAAGAAACATTTAGTCCTGTAGTTAAGGCCTCCACAATTATAATCATACTTATCATTGCTACTAGCTCAAACTGGAGTTTAAGACAATTAGATGTGAAGAATGCATTCCTCCACGGAATGCTTAAGGAAACTGTGTATATGTTACAACCGCCAGGCTTTCAAGACCAAAACACTCCTCATTACGTGTGTAAACTCAACAAATCCTTATATGGCCTAAAACAAGCCCCACGAGCCTAGTTTGAAAGACTCTCCCAATGCCTCCTACATCTTGGCTTTATATGTTGTAGATCTGATTCCTCCATGTTTATTCTCAAAAAGCATTCTACACTATTAGTCATGCTTATCTATGTTGATGAAATCATCTGGAAACACTAATAGAGCAATCTAACACCTAATCAACAAGCTCAGTGATGAGTTCGCCATCAAAGACCTGGGAAACTTGCACTACTTCCTTGGAATAGAGGTACAGGAGACTAAACAATGACTCTTCCTCTCTCAAACCAAGTACGCCAAAGAGATCATCCAAAAAGCTAACATGTGGTTTGCCTCACACTTCAATACCCCAATGGCCATAAGCTCAGCTGACCTTCCAAATGACCAAGAACCCGTTGATGCCACCCAATATAGGAGTATTGTTGGATCACTACAATATTTAACCTTATCACAACCCGATATCACCTAAGCAGTCAACAAAGTTTGCCAGCACCTCCAAAAACCTATACAACAACAACTCTAAGCTGTTAAGTGCATTTTGATATACATCAAGGGGTCAATTTAGTATGGAATACTTTTTCGTAAAAATAGTCCTCTAACTTTATATGGTTTTTGTGATGCAGGTTGGGGAGGATGCAAAGAAACAAGGCGAAGTACAATAGGTTTTTGTATCTTTCGTGGAGCAAATTGTATATCTTGGTCGTCAAAGAAACAATCTACAGTGGCAAGATCAAGTTCGGAAGCTGAATATAGATCAATGGCAAGTACAACTGCAGAAATCACATGGATCACCTTCATACTCAAGGATTTATTCATCAAACTCCTCCAACCACTTCAACTATTTTCAGTGCTCTACAAATGTCCATCAACCCGGCGTTCCATGCTATAACCAAACACATGGAGATGTATTATCATTTTTGTAAGAGAAAAAGTAGCACTGAGATCATTTATTACACAGTATGTACCATCTACTGAACAACTTGCTGATATATTCACAAAGCTGCTTGCCAAAACACCATTTCGCAATTTAAGATCCAAACAATTTGTGGAAGAATGATAAAATAAAGGATACAACAAAAGCCACATCAGTAGCTACATTCTCAACACAGTAGGCAACAAATGCTCAATCATCCGTCACCTTACAAAACCAGTAGAATCAACAATTAAATCAAACTTCCTTGCCTAGAAAATCTGTGATTTCTCCCTATGAGCAGCTTTAATTAGTTACCTTATACAGCAGGCTCATATTTGGATATATTATTTAAACTTTATATGGAAAGGATCACAATTCTGCTGTATTATATTTACTCTTCTTTACCGTTGCAAGTTTACCTTATTTAGCTCAAGAATGTATACTACCATACTGTATATTTACATAGGTTTTCTCCTTCTAGCAGCAGCAATTTTGGAAATATATTTTTCTTTATTTTCATTGTTGAAGCTAGTGAATAACAGAACATTTTCTTTTGCCATCTCGTTTGTCATAAATAGATTGTAAGGCTTCAAGAAATTCTAGCCTAGTTTTGATCTATTTAATATGGTATCAGAGCCCAAAAGCTCAAACGAGCATCCGATCCAAAAATGAGATCCGACCAAGATCGATGAGCCAAAAGAGTCACGATCTTGAGAGGACATATTAAGGATTCCCACATTGAAAAAAAAGGGGGTCTAACAATGGTTTATAACAAAGCACGTTAAAAGATCCCACATTTTCCAATCAAATCTCTATTTTCTAGTTAAATTTTAGAAATTTATAATAAAGCACATTTGACAGTAAAATAGGTTAAACTAACTCTCACCAGCTTTGCTTAACAGTAAATGACACCGATATATAATCTATAGGTCATGAGTTTGAATTCTCCGTCCCAACTTGTTGCTTAAAAAAGGAAAAATGTTAATCTCTCTCTATTTAGAAGACCAACAGGGGGAGTGGAGATGAATGATTCGAACTCCAACTTTTTGGTCGAAAAATATGTCAGTAAAATATTCTTTAATTACTTAGTTATGTATGTTTAATACATTTTTAAATAATTATTTTGCATGATTAGTGTTCTGGTGAAATATTACATTCATCTGAGGAGAAGATGATCACAAACCGTTGGAATGTAGAAGCGACAATCCATATCCTCGAGCATAAGCAACAAAAGGATAGGTCCGAGCCAACCACAAGTGGAGCAGGACCTACCACCATTGATTCACAATTGTGTGAAAGGTAAACGTTTTGACTAATGAAGATGTAGTTAAATTGACTAAACAAACCCCAAATTTGGGATAGAAGAAAGCCACATAAAAGAAATAACAAGGCTTGAAGGTGATGAATCATTAAATAAAAAATCTAAGCATGTTGTTTATTTATTTGTTTATTTTCAATTTTATTTAAGCATGATATGTGATTTTTCTGTAATATTTTATTCTACTATGATGTTCAAATTTGAGGTAAATAAATTATTTCCTATGTTTATACTTGAGAAAATTTTTTGTTTGATGCCCAAACAAAACCTCCTCAAATGGGACCCAATTGACACACAACGGTTCAAGAACTCGAATAGGGACGAACTAGAGAAGCAAGCAAATAAGTTAGAAGCAGTCAGTGAAACCAGGGAAGAATAAATGGCAGATTAAGCCTAAATGGTAAAAAAATCCCGAAAATGCTGAAAAAGGCATGCAAACGAGCCCAGCAAGGTTAAAACAGAAAGGGGGCGAGTGAGATAAGCCAATCAACGAACCCAGGGTATAAAACCATTGGCAAAAAGCCAAATAGATTATAAACTCAAGAGTGTTGAAGGCAAGCAAACAACTCAGCTAAGTTAATCCCAATGCCAACAAAACACCTAAGCAGTTAAAACTAACTATATGGCAGAGCTCATAGCGATCCATAAAATGACCAAGCGACAAGTACTCTCAATATAGAAGCGCATTTTGTTTATGTCTATTGCATTCTATTTTGAGGGTGGGGCTAATGTTATGGGTGAGAAAATCAATTTTCTACCATTCAAATTCCTTTTCTAAATTCAAATTCCCTATTTAAGGAATTCAAAAGGAGAAGATACGGTGATGGGCTTAGGATTTCCCTAGATTCAGGAGAATATCTATTTTATTCGAAAGAGAAAATATCCAGATGCCTTAGGATTTTCCCTCTATAAATAGAAGGTAAATACTCATAATGAAGCTGTACTCTACAAATCTCTACTATTTGCTACGCCAAAACACCATACTCTCCATACTCGACTACTCTGATTCTGATTTAAGCATCGGAGCCTGTGTGGCATGTGGCAAGAGCCACACTGGTTTTTAGTTGCTCTTATGTTTTGCAACTCTCGTCAATCCCTTAATTTCAGAGGATTGGTGCGAATTTTATGGAATCTTAGGAGACCAAATTTCTGCATCAACGTATAAAAGTTGGCCTAAAATTTTGTTTTTTCTTTTTTTTTTTTCGAAAATTTTGGTTTTTTCTTTATTTGTAACTTATTTAAAAGAAATGTATTGTTGTAACTAAGAGAAATAGCTTATTTAAAAGAAATGTATTGTTGATGATACTTTCCAAAATTTTGTTTTTTCATCTCAAAACACATTCGAAAGGGTGTGATCAGTATACATTCGAAAATTTTGTTTTTTCATCTCAAAATCAATTGTAAATAAGAGAAATAACACATGTCTATTATAAATATTTGTTAGGTCCCTTATCTTTGCAATGTGGGTCCTTAACATGCCCCAATTCAAAATAGTGGCTCAATTGGGCTCACTAATTTTGGCTCGAGCCCCATTTTTGACTGATGCTCATTTGAGTTTTTTGAACTTTGATACCACATTAAACGTGATTAAACAATCAATGAACTCAAAAGTTTAAGTTGATAGGTCACTGAGGTAAATTTAATCATATATACGTGTACAAATATGTTAACAAAATAATAATTTAATTATACATGCATCAACTTTCTATTAAACAGTTTTTATGGAATTAATTATTTAATTCAAAATTTTCAATACATCGAGGGTAAAAAAAGTGAGAATTTTAAAAAAGATCAAGGACCAAATTGAGAAGAAGTTACCACTTGATATATTTAACCCAAAACAATAATACAAAAGGATTAGATCGAGTATTTTCAAATATTATTTTAGATCAAACAAGAACACAAAACTAACTTATATTTTGTCTCATTTTGACACAAATCACATGCATGTATGCACTCCTTATTCCAATTGGGGTAGGTTGTATCTGACTTCATCCAACTAAATAAAAAAGCCCAACCTCAGCAAGATTCCCATTATATATTCTCCCATTTTGAAGTACAAAACCACTTCATTAGTTGAAGGGGAAAAAAAAAGAGAGTTATGGAATTGGAAATCATCTCAAGAGAGATCATCAAGCCCCCAATGCCCCTCAATAATGACTTCAAAACCTTCAAAGTCTCAATGCTAGACATCCTCTCTCCTGATTCTTACACTCCCATCACATTCTTCTACTCCATGAACAACAATCAGCAACATTCTCATAATGCAACTTCAAGATTGAAGCTTTCTCTCTCACAAGCATTGGCTCGCTTCCCAATGGTGGCTGGAAAATTCAAAGGAGACTCAATCCATTGCTCCAATGAAGAGGATGTGGGAGCTCTCTTTGTGGAGGCCGAAGTCAAAATGTCCATGGCTGAGTTTCTCAAAGCCCCAAATCTCCAATTGCTTGCAAATTTCCTTCCTCTCTTTATTCCAAATGGGCCATTAGAGAAGGCTGTCCAAATTGCAGTCCAAGTGAATGTTTTTGAATGTGGGGGCATTGCAATTGGTGCTTCTTTTTTGCACAAAATCATAGATGGAACCACCATGAGTGCGTTTCTTAGATCTTGGGCTGCCTCTTGTGAAGGGAAGATGGGGAAATTGGTGTGTGGTAATTTTAATTGGGGCTCTTCTCTGTTTCCAACAAGAGAAATATGGGATGGCTATAATCTGTTTTCTCCATTTTCGGTGAAGCAAGGAAAAAGTAGCACTGCCAGAAGATTTGTTTTTGATGCTATGGCAATAGCAAATCTGAAGGGCAGAGCTAAATCTACAAGTGTTCCAAATCCAACCAGTGTTGAAGTTGTAACTTGCTTCATTTGGAAGTACGCCATCAAAGCATCGAGATCATGTACATCAACCGGTAAGAATAAGTTGTGAAAATAGCATTTTCGTATGTTGAGATATACATGATTAAATTTATCCTAATTCATTAATTTTAAACTTTTAGATTCACTAGTTTGTTGCTATGTGGTATGCACATTTATATCTCTAATATGATACAATTTATAATTATCTTATTTTCATTCTAAATCTTTTATATCAGCATACAATCTTATTTTGTTATTAAAAAATCACAATTATAGTATAGGGTTAAAAATATATATATTTTTTCTTAACTTTTTCACGAAAAGAAAAATTATTATATTAGAAATTAGAAATTTTAGGTAGTTTATAAGAAATCTTAATGAACTCATAATTTTTTTTTAATATTTCATTTTGAGATAAATATTTCTAATACTTACCCCAAATATTATATAATTTTGTTAAAAAAAAAGAATCAAGTTAATATATTTAAATTATTGTTACTAAAAAATATGAGAAATATTTTAACAAAGATACTAAATTATTTTATAAAATTTGAACATTTGAGTTACCAAATTAAAATTAAAACATACACAAAAATTTTAAATAAAAAACATTATAATACAAATTATAAAAAAAATATCAATAAATAAAAAAACACAACAATATAGCAATTATATAATAATAATAACAAAAAAAAGTAACAAACATAAAAAAAAAAAAAACTATCAATACATACATTCTTTGGAGATAGATTTATCTGGTTAGACATAAATAATTATTTAATTTTATAAAAGTAAAATTATAACTCCATATACTTAGGAATTAGAATATAGCTTTAATATATAAATTTTGTACCGATTTGAACTTCACATATATATCTTGACTTTTGAGTTTCTTTAAAGCAAAAAATTCTAAAAAACTAAAAATAAAGAAAAAGTGTAGCTCAAAGTATTGGTAAACAATTATAGAAGAAAATGTCTAGATGATAAAAAGTTACAAATCTTTTAGAATTCTAAAACTCTTGAAATCTATTATCAATAATGAAAATAATAAACCTCTTCATAAATTAATTAAAATAACCTTTTACACATTCTAACTTTTTAGATTTCATATTATCTTAAACAGATAAACTTTTTATATTCCATGCAATTATTAAGGGTTGATATCTAGTATTTATAATTTATTAATTAATTTATTGTTTACTATTAATTTATAAGAAAATACCTCTTTGTAGTAATAGAAGATAAAAATTTACAAAACTTTTGAAATTCTATTATTAGTTATTATTAATGTAATGACTCAGCTCTCCATAACTTAAATAACCACGTTTTACATATTCTAATTTTTTTAGGTTACATGATCCTAAAAAAACAAACTTTTGAGATTCGGTACAACTGTTATGGTTGGTATTTATTATTTATTAATTAATTTACTATTTACTGTTACTTTTCTCTGACATGTTTTGTAAATTTATAAATTAAAAAATATTATAATAGTCTAAACATATTTTTCAATATCTAATATAATGCTTACAACGCGAGCCTAGTTTAGCAGTAATTGGCATATATCTCCAACCAAGAGGAGAGCTCATGTCTGTTATAAACTCTTGTTAGGTCCTTTTCTTTTCAATGTGGGATCATTAATATATATATATATATATAAAAGATGAAAAAATTATAAATCTTTTGGAATTATACGATTTTTTAAATTCTATTATTTATTATTATTAATAAAAATAATTAAGCTTTCATAAATTAAATAGCAACCTTTTCCATATTCCAACTTTTTGAATTCGAGTTAATTGTTATGGAAGGGCATGATAGTCAAAAGATGTTTTTTTTTCAAGATTCTCACTTTTTAATAGTATAGATATAGATTTTAATCATGTTTAAGAGCTTTTAATTCAATAGAAATTCTCATTGAATTGAAACTTTAAAGACTTTAAAAGGGTCGATTAAAGTTGAAACAGAGTACATAAGTTAATTCTTGCCTCAATTGTGTACTCATTATGAACTCGGTTCATGAAGTCTGTTTTGGCCAGGAGTTTGTTGGGTGGATGCAAAATATTTGTGAATAAATACTATATTTTGGTTTAAATACTATTTTGATTTACGTATTTTCGATTTTAGTTCATTTTGATTCATGTATTTTTAAAATATTCATTTTGGTCCATATACTCTAAATATTGGTTCGTTTTAGTCCTTCTACTCCCAAATTTTGACCATTTTACTTCCTGTACTTTCAAAACGTCTATTTTGATCCATGTACATATAAAAAAATGATCATTTTTGTCTCTTCATTTTTATTTTTATCTCATTTTTTTCAATAATAATTTTAGCATGATACTACCTTTACTAAATTTTTTTAAAATGTAGTTATAAAAGAGTTTATATTGTGTACAAAATTATATTTATGTTCAAATTTTGTAAATAGTGACCAAATTGATCCCTTTCTAAAAATACATGGTCCAAAACATACCTTTTGAAATTACATGACTGAACTGCACATAAATTGTAATTTACTGAGTGAAAATTAACCAAAATATATATTAACTAAAGCCAAAATTAAAAAACTAGAATTTATAAACCAAAATTGAAATTTAGTGAGTGAAAATTAACCAAAACACATGAAAACCAAAATTAACTAAAGTAAAAAATTCAATAACCAAAATATACAAAAATATAGGTTTGAATGTATGATTTCTAAAGAAATTAAGGCCCTGTTGCGTAACGTTTCCGTTTCTCATTTATCGTTTCCAATTTTCTTAATCTAAATATTTTGCAACTAACTATGTTTCTCTGGTTTCTCCTTTTTTGGGAATGTTCTAAAAGTTGTATAGAAATTTTAAAAACAACTAAAACAAGTTTCTTTCTTCTTGTTCCATTTCTAATTTGTTCCAAAACATAAATAAAAAGACGGTTTATCATGCTTGAATTCATAGAGGTTGGGGCCATTCAATTCAATTTTTCTTTTTTTTTTTTACTAAAAATGGAGAAACATAGACAAGAAACAGAAACGTTACCAAACAAGTCACGATTAACCAAACGTTTGCAGCAATCATTGGAATTAAGTTATTTGATAATTTAGTTTGATCGAGATAATTAAAATCATAATAAACATAATTGGTGGATACAATATGTTGTGTTCTATTAATAATATGATGTTTCATGTGACAAACAGCAGACAAGAAAGAATTTGTTGATCCAAAATGGGGATCAACCTTAGTTCATGCCATTAACCTGCGAAGAAGAATGCAACCACCCCTATCCAAAAACGAGGTTGGAAACATTTTTTGGATGAACCCAGCCTATTACGAAGCATCAAATACTGACATGAAATTGGCTGATCTTGAAAATACATTGCGACAATCACTGTCGAAAATCAACAATGATTTCATGCAAAAAGTAACAGGAGACGATGGATTCGAGACTTTTCTGAATTCATTACAACAGTTACGTGAGCTCTATGCAAAAAGTTGGGAGACATTTTTGTTTACAAGTTGGCGTAACATGGGATTCAATGAAGTGAATTTTGGATGGGGAAAGCCTGCATGGATTGCCTGCGGTGGAAGTATTGGTGAATCCATAGTAAGGAATGGAATTGTGTTGATGGATACAGCAACATGTGATGGAATAGAAGCATGGATTGTACTAGATGATGAAACAATGAACTTGTTGGAAAATGACTCTGAATTTCTTGAGTTTGCGTCTCTCAACCCGAGCGTAAAATTAGCTTAAATTCAAGAGATTTGTGGAAGGGACAAAGATAAAAAAGGATTTATTGCCTTTACTTTACCCTATGTTTGGGGATGGCTTGTAGGAATAATGCTAATCCATGTTCTGTAAAGCCAAGGAATCAAAGTTCAAGAAATGGTTTAAATTTCGTGATTTGAAATTCGATAAATGATTTTAAATTCTAATTTATCTTGTTTGGAAACAGAAGGATTTAAATTGAATTAAATTAGTTTATTCTGTCGGGATGTTCACGGAAAACTAAAAGAAAATAAAAATTTTACAGATTTTGAGTTTTAATCTAAATTTATTAATTAGAAATTAAAATATGACAAGGTTAAATGGAGTAATTTCTCTAAAATTCTATGAAATGATGCAAAATCTGACCCTTTTGATTCAGAAATTTTCCAAGGTAAAAAAAATTTTGACATCCTGCAAAATCTTTACTATTTATTTTACCTTGCTCTCACCAATTACTCTCCTCAACTAGCCTACGTAGCTCAAACGTATACTCCCATGTTAATACACATACGTCAGTCATATTATTCATTTGTTCAAAAATAAGGTAAAATACTAATTAATATATATATATATTTATTTATTTAAATTTCAAGAACTAAATTATATATTTTGAAAGTTTAGATCAAAATTTTGAATATTTTAAAAGTTACACTACGAGAAATAGTGATTCAACGATAGGCAAAATACTCTTTTGTCTCATAAAAAGCGACGAAAAAGAAGAATTCGTCGTATCATTTTTGTCTTTAAAATTTCTAAAATTATTTTGGTCCCTTGCGATATGTCAACTTAACCTTTTTTTTATTGTACATGTTTATATGAATAAATAATTCGACATATCTCAAATTTTTTTAAAACATAGATCCGACCGTTAAGGATCTCACATTGATAAAAGAAGGAATCTAATAATGATTTATAATAGACATTAGCTACTTCTCTCATTATTAATTGGTTTTGAGATGAAACTCCATTAATATTGATACCGACATCAATGATAATAACTTCAAATCACCTCGTCTTAATATACATTATTAATTAAAGCACTAATGCACACAACGTGGAACTAAAATAAATTAAGAAGATAATTTTATGATGCTTACATCTTTATATAAAATACATTAAATTAGCAAAAGCTATTTAATTACTATATTTTTTTCTTAGTTCAACATAATAGGGGAATCGGAGATCGAACCCTCAACTTCAAAAGATGTAACAAGTGTCTTATTCATTCAGCTATATTCAGATGGACTAATTATTTTAATTTAATGAATTGATATATACATTCATGAAACAAAAAATTTCCCAACAAACAATTGACATGCTTGACGTACAACAAGATTATTACTGCGAAGAAATTAAATCCAAATATACAGTCTCAGATCAATCAAAATAGGGAAGATTCGTAGTACATAAAAAAATATATATAATAAAAGAAATTAAAATAGAATTCTCCATTTAAGATGAGATCTTTGAATGAAACACGAAACAAATTCATACAAGCTTTATAACCCTAATATATCACACTATTCTCGAATTATGGACACACCTTGCATTAGTATTCATGAGGTCTTTTATTTGAAAATTAATTGGCCCTGAGATGGAACCTCATAAATGTTGATATGGTATCAGTCCAACAAGTTCAAACAAGTATTCAGTCTAAAAATGAGATTCGTGCCAAGATCGGTGAGACCAAAAGAGACCTGACGAAACATGTTAAGGATTCGATATTGAAAAATTAAGAGGACCTAATAAAGTTTATAATAGACATGAGTACTCCTCTCATTGTCAATTGATTTCAAGATAGAATCCTGTGAGTATTGATACCTCAGAGTAAATTGGTCGATTTATAATTTAAAATGTTATTGATCAATGAAGAGATTTTTTATTTTTATTTTTTCCATTTCTATACATCCTTCTTTTAATATTTAACAAGGGGTTGTCCACCGTGGCAAGGACTTGGACCTTAGGATACCACTTACCTTGAGGTCTAAGTTCAAACCATTGCTTAGTCCCAGTTAAGGGATCTCCTAGCCCCCAATTATAGGGATCCACTAGCTTAAGAATTTGGTCAACGATCTTTTAAAATTCTTAATTTTACCTCTAATGTATAAAAGATTCTCAATGTCATTCCCTAAAAAATAATTGTTAAAGTTTGTTAACAAAAAGTTGATGTATCATTAAAAGTTGTTACTTTATTTAACATATTTGATCATGTAAATATGTCATTTGGATGCTACTTTGACACATGAAACTCAACTTGTTGATTAACAAAATTCAATCAAACTAAAACAAAGGTCTATTTCTTCCCAGTGGCATGTCCAAATGGCGTCCACGTGTTCAAATATATGTAAACAAAATAATAATTTAATGACACATAGCTTTCTATTAACAAATTTTAACATATTATTTTGATGGAGGGATCTAGTTGAGAATTTTTAATGCATTAGGAGTAAAAGTGAGAATTCTAAAAAGAAAATTAAGGACCAATAAAATGAGAAGAGAAGTACCCAATTTGGTATATTCAACCCAAAAAAGTAATGCATAAAGGATTAGATTGAATCTTTCCAAAGATTTGAGATCCACCAAAAACAAGGACTAACTTATATTTGGTTCTTTATTCCAAATTGGCTAGGTTGTATATCGGAGAGAGTTGCGAAGGGACAAAGATAAAAGAATTTATTCCCTTTACTTCATTTTTTCCCTTATGTGTTAGATTTCAATCAAGGATATTAGATATCCAATAAATGAATTAAATTTATCCAATCCATCAGTTTGAGCTTTTGGGTTGGGTGGTGATTTATTAAGAGCACCTTAACTTAACAGCAAATGACATCATCAAGTTCCACACAGACGAACAATGGAGTCACGACAATCCTAAGGTAGAATACGCTAATTTCAAATTCAGGAAATCAAATTTCTCTAATAAAATTAAGAGATAGCAACTATCTGTTGTGGAAGTTTCAGATCTTGACAACAATTCAAGGTCATGGATTGGAAAAATTCATCAAAGGTACAATGACAATTCCTTTGCAATTCCTACAAACCACTGGAAATGAAGAAGGCATGACATCAATTCCATAAGAAAATCCTGAATATCTTTCTTGGATTCGACAAGATAAACTTCTATCTTCTTGGCTATTGATTCAATGAATGAAGAAATTTTGGCTCAAATGATCGGTTGCGTTTCTGCAAAAGATATTTGGGGAATTCTGTGTTTTTGTTTGTTCCCACCTTAATAATATGTTAGTGCCTTTCTATATATTATATGGTTAAATGGGGTATGTGGTCACAAAATAACGTTTTCGCAATTAAAAAGGTGTCATGGTTGTCAACTACGGTAATTGACAGATGTCTCTACCAATCCACTTGTTGTATAAAAAAAGTATCATGATATACTATCCAAAGTTGATTGTTTTTCTATCCAATTGAGAGTACTATACGTAAATAACGGTTAGTTTACTAAAATTATGCTTTTACACCCTTATAAATATATAAATATGAGAACAATTTATAATTACCAACTTAGAAAGAAGAATTACATACCCCGTTTACTTACACCGCAATGGAAGTGTAAAGGAATCACATAATAAAAATTAATTGAAATGGAAATGTATTCATTTGATGTTGTGTGTTATCAATTTTCTGGAATATCAAAATAAATTTTTTATATTATTTACTAAAAGAAATAAGATATATAACGATTACTGGTATACATATTCCTTATTTCTAACTAATTACAAATACATCTTTATATTGATATTTTTGATCAAAATAACAACAGAATTGTTTTATTTTATTACTATTTTATTAATAGTAATATTTTTAATTTATTTAATATTAAAAATAATAAATAATTAAAAAAAATTACATCAACTAAAATAATTTTTTATTAGCACAACGTATATAAAATATTATTAAACTTTATTGTTTCTCACAAAAAAAATGATTCCTGTTTTAAAAAGTGTATTGATATTCATTAATAATAACAAAGTAAAATTAATTAATTAAAAAGTTAAATAGAATTTTGAAATATTTTATAATAAAATCACATAAATTGATAAAAGTTATACACTTGCTGGTAAAAAAGAAAAAAAAGAAAGAATAATAACACATTTAGTACGAAGGTCTAAATAATAAAATGTCAAATATACTTTGAAGCCCAAAACTTGATAAACCTTTTATATATCTGCGATATGTATGTTCTGATCTACATTATTGATTTACCTTTGATCTACCATATTGATGTAACTAGCTATATGATATATGTGTGCTCATGTACCACTAATATATATCATATATACTTCTAATATAATTTATCTTATTGTAATATACCTATGATATTTTTGCAATATGTACGTCCTGGTCTACCTTAATGATTTACCAATTATTTATTATTGATTTACCATTGGGTTACAATTGATTTACTATTGATTTACCTTATCAAATTTTACTATTTATTTATGTACCATTTATTTACTATTGATTTACCACTGATATACCATTGAATTACTAATACATCCTCTAGAAGGGACAGATTGAACCGACATCGAAGGTCTTGAAACAAAAAGCGAAGATATATATGGTCCTCAAAAGATACGACAATTACCAAGAAAGAACGCTGATAACGATCAAGAACCTAATTTTGACTTAAATATTTCTGAAATAGAATTAAAACTTTTATTTAATACAATGGCTTTTAGATTTTTTTTGTTTAAATTATAATACAATCTATTTTAGATTTAAAACTTGTATCTACTTCTAATTTTTATATGTTCAGATTGTAATACAACTTCTTTTATATTTTAAATGTTATGACAATGAGCTTATTTATATATAAAGTAATTTATATTCAATCTTGTGTTTGCCAATTTATTGATAATATATTGTGTTTTTTCCCTTATTGATTAGGACAGAAGTAATTTAGTAATTTTTGAATTCTGTATTTCGTCCACATGCTTGACATGTTGTGATTCTTCTACTGATATATATATCTATATTATTATATACTTATGATATGATTATCTGATTTTTACATACCTATGATATAGTTATGATATACCTACTATATATATGTATTGATCTACCTTATTGATTTACATTTAATCTACCATATTGATATAACTATAATATATATATATATATGCATGCTGATATACTGCAAAATCCACGCTCTTTCAAAAAAAAAATTCATTAAAAAATATCGGCAGGAGAGAGTAGATCCCACAACATTTGACCATGAGACATTTGGTCGGTTGGTTAAGGGGGCGAAAGAGTCTCCTTGATAAAGGCCTCAACGTGTCCATGGAGTGGCAAAGCGCCAAGCAGACGGTCCCAAATGGTCCCAAATAGATGTGGTGTATGGACAATGGACCATGATGTGGTCCAAAGATTCTCCAAATTGGTGACAGAGAAGGCAAATACTAGGATTCAGAAGATGGTTTGGGAGCTAGATTGCAACTTTTCAACTATGAAGAACACACCAAATAAAGAATTTAACTTTTTGTGGCAAAAGTAGAGACCACAATTTGGCAAAGATTGCTGAAGAATCACCAAAGCACACACCAATTTGGATAAATATATGCAAGGATGGATACCAAACCTCCATTGAGCTCGAGTGATTTATAATTTACGAAATTACTAATGTTCGATCTTCATTCACTTTTAATTAGATCACGTCGCACGCTCCATATAAGAGGGTGTTAAGATTAAGGGTGCACATCGAAATTGTTGAAATTGAAAAAGATTAAAAATCGAATCGAGATCGAACTGAATTTTCAATTTTAAACGATTTTCAATTTGGCTCGATTTCTCAAACTTAAAACCGAAATCTACGGTTTGGTTTTGGTTTAGAATTAGAAAAAACTGAACTCAAATCGAACCGAACCAAAACATATTTATTTATTTTTTTTAATTATTTAAAACATATCCCATCTTTTTGACATGGTTCATTTATTGCTTGTGGTTAGCCTGCCCATTGATACCACCTCTTCCTTTTCCCAAAATCCATCCACACACGCAAGTATTTTCCACATTTTTTATAACATTTTTTTTATTTTATGTTCTTTCAAGAGGTCTCTTTCTCCTTCAAAACATTTGCTTTATAATTTGTTTTGTTGAGGATCCTACACTCATAAGGACCTAATAAAATGTATTACTCCTATCTATGAATTAATTTTGATATAAAATCTTATAAATATTGATATGGTATTAAAGTCCAAAAACTCAAACTAATATTCTAAAAATGGAATCTGACCAATATTGATGAGTCAAAATGGGTTACTCCTCCCATTACTAATTGGTTTTGAAAAACACCATTCAGCCACTTCCTTTGTGTAAGCTTGCCCCATCTCCCTTTCGAACTACCTTTTCCCCTCCTCCATATCGTTCTTCTCCGACAAGCAACACTCGACTGACAATGACTGAAGGAAGCTCTCCCCTCTCCCTACGACAACTCCACACCATATCTACAACAGCAGTAGACCTTGTTGCTTGGGGCTCGTGAAACACCAACGGTAATCCACGAGCAAGATCCCTCCCCAGATAACCCGTTCTTCATTTTGGCTAGCCTCTTCAAATCAACTCGCCTTGCACCAATTGTTTGCTAGGACTTCCCATTTACGCCGTCGACATGTGAAACCACAAACCAACTGACTAAACTATTGGTTTTCAGTTCAGTTTAATGCAATTTCAGTACTAATTTCAATTCGGTACGATTTCTGTGTTTTTTATTTTTTAAAATTTAGATCGATTTTGATTTGGCTCTAAAACTGAACCAAACCGAATCACGAGCACCCATAATCAAAACTAAAGAACTTCTGTTCCCATGTGCACCCCTTTATCCTCTTAGAAAAGAAAGCTCATGTCTAATGTTAAATGAAATTCGACATTGATACGAAAAAACAGTCGATATTTTTATTAAAAATATTAATAAAATATCATTAATATTTAATATTACTAGCCAGAATTTATAAAATTATTTAAAAAGTGTAAAATAATTATCTAAAATTTATATACTTTTAATGAACTTTTAGAAAAATATGTAAGTTTCCATAAATTTGAGTTTTTCAATAACTTCCTAACATATATATATATATAAAATTAATTTTATCTTGCAAAGTAAACATGCACCAAACCCTGCATATCATAAACTTGTTCTTTTTTTTTTTTCAAAAGATAGTTCAGCGATAGTTGACACATGTCTCTAACTAAGAGATCAAGAATCCGAATCCTTTTAAAGAAAACCACCTTTTTTTACAACTCCATAAACAACTTCTAAATAGGAATTTTCAGAGGTTTGATTTTTCTTCTAAATCTTTTATTTTTAATAATCCTTTATCAATTTATCAACCTAATCCTTAAATATTTAATCATAGCCAAATTAAAATTACTAGTCATGTTTTATCAATTAAATGCATAGATATGTTTCAAATTATTACAATATTATTTTTTCATCTTATCCAATCACAGACTATCTTCGTCTCTCAAGATTGTTCTCCTATTTTTTAATGAAGCTGTATTTTTTTTTTTCAAAGAAAACAAAAACTCTCTAGTTTCGTGAGCCATTTGTTCTCTCCATCTCCTATAGGAATGTTCGTGGTTCTCATTTAATTATATCCCTAAAATAATACGCATATTAAATATACAAAAGTAGTCACTCTCAACTATGTGTGTCGTGTAAACCACTCAAGATCCATTAATTTCATGGCTGAATAACACCCATTGGATTAGATACAATAAACAAACTTTGGACAAAAATCCCATAGCAAACATAGAGAGAATTTGAGAGTAATTTTATATGAATAGCTCAAGATGAAAAATACAACCTCAGTCTTATATATTTTATTAGACTCTAGATATTGACTAACAAACATGCTTAACAACTCAATTAAAATACACAACCAACTAGATAGTACTTCAGTTACATGAATATAAAACTTAAATGGGACAGAAAAGACCGTCAAATTTGCCAAAACGAGCATAGTTATTACTCTCACGCTTATATTCATCTATTTTGATCCCCTCGCGGATGAGATATGCTCGGGTTGGGAGTGGCAAACTCGAGAAACTCGTCATCATTTTCTAGCAAGTTCATCGTTTCATCATCTAACAACACCCATGCTTCTAATCCTTCACCTTTCACTGTATCCATCAAAATAATTACATTTTTCAACATAGAGTTGAACGTGTTTGCTCCACATGCATTCCATACAAGTTTTCCCCATCCAAAATTCACTTCATTTAAACCCATGTTACGCCAACTCGTAAACAAATAGCACTCATCACTCGTTTCATAAAGTTCATGCAATTGTTCGAGTGAGCTCAAAAGAGTGTCGAATCCTTCGTCTCCAATTACTTTATGTAACAAATCGTTGTCGATTTTAGACAACGATTGTCTCAATAGACTTTCGAGATCGTCCAACGTTGTCACTGTGTCGTTTGATGCTTCATAATAAGTAGAACTTCTCCGATAAATGTTGCCAACCTCATTTTCAGACAAAGGTGGATGCATTCTTCTTCGCATATTAATCAAATGAATTAAGGTTGACCTCCATTTCAAATTAACAAAATTTTGCTCTCCACCATCTGTAAAGACAAAATTATAATTTGGGTAACTGCTAGTATTAATATAATAGAAGTTTGAAATTGTACAAATGGTAATTAAAAATCATAATTCTAAATATAGCAAAAAAAGAGAGCATGTATAATCTAAAAAAATTTAGGCCATGCATCTTTATGATTATATTCTTTAAACAACATAGATTAATTAACAATTAGGTAAATTAAGTAAAAGTTGAAAACACATTCGCTTATTTCGTGAGTAGTTATTATATAAACTTTTTTTTTTCTAACTAGCTAAAAATATTCCTAAAATTGCATATAAATTTTGGAAGTAAAACTGTCTCTGGTTGCTTGTTTCTTGTTTGCTTATTTCCAATTTTTCAAAAGGTTAATAACGAAAATGCTATATATGTTTACTATTTGTATCCATAAATCACATATATATAATATATAAAACTTAAAAATGGTACAAACTTTGGATAAGCTTATTGTCAAAACTAATTTTTGTAAGTGAAACTTGTAGATATAATATATATAATAAGAAAAAAAAAACAATTTTTTTAGAGTAAACAAGGAAACTAAGAAATGGAAAAATATATATAATTATATTTTATACATTAAATAAGAAATACATATTGGAAATACTACAACTAAAGAGTTCATATTATTCTTAGAAGTTTTGGTAAATCTAGCATACATAGTATAATCAATAATTTGCAAAGAAAAATCTGTTAAAATAGAAAAATGGTAGAACCACACACATGTTTTTTTTTTTTTTTGATAGGTGACACCATTTCATAGAAAAGTAGAACCACACATACAACAATCAAGGTTTATCATGACCAAAGTCAATCAATATTTAAATTAATAAATGATTACTATTGCATTCAACCACTTTTTTTTTTCAAACAATATTTAATTTAATAAGATTAGTTTGCCATAAAAAATATATATATTTTTTAATATGATGTGTGGAGATGGGGATCAAACTCACAACCTTGGTTGGAGATACATGTCAATTACAGCTATGCTCGCTTTGGGGTCATAAAATAATTAATTATGTAAATCACTGATTATTACATAAAATAAAGACCATTTTCTTACCCGATAATCTACGTCTTCGGGATGCTTTCATGGCGTACTTCCAAATGATGCAAGTTACAACTTCAACGGTTGTTGGGTTGAGAACCCTAGTAGATTTAGCTCTAGCCTTCAAATTTGATATGGCCATAGAATCAAAAACAAATCTTCTACAAGTGCTGTTTTTTCCTTGAGCCACAACAAATGGGGTTTTGGAAGAAAACAAATTGTAATCAGCTGAGATCTCTCTGGCTGGAAATAGTGAAGAAGTTGAATATTGGTAACCTTCACACACCAAGTTTTTTGATATCCCTTCAAAATTGGATGCAGCAGCTGCCAAAGATTTAATGAAGGCCCTCATAGTGGTTCCATCTATAATTTTGTGGAAGAAAGAGAAGCCAATTGCAAGTCCACCACAAGAGAAAAAGCTAACTTGAGCTCCAATTTGTATGGTTCTCTCTAATGGTTCATTTGGGGCAGCAGGGAAAGGAAGGAATTGGGCAAGAAATTGGAGATTTGGGTTTTTGAGGAAATTGCCCATGGTGATTTTTTGGACTTTGGCCTCAACAAATAGAGCACCAACTTCATCATCCTCATTGGAGCAATGAATCAAATTGCCTTTGATTTTTCCTGTGAGAATTGGGAAGTGAGCCAATGTTTTGGATAGAGAAATTTTCAATCTAGTTGCAGTATTTTCCTTGAAGAAAATATGGCTATTATCAGTTTCTTCTTTCATGGAGTAGAAGAAGATGATGGGAATATAAGCATGAGGGGAGACCTTGTCTAGAAGTGAAACTTGGAAGGTTTTTGGGTCATCTTGAGGCATCTCCTCTAGGGTTGCAGGCTTGATGATTTCTCTTGAGATGATTTCAACTTCCATGATTTGTCAATTGATTTGAACTTCAACTAACGGAAATAATGGAGTTTGAGTGGACGATGCTTGCTTTGCTAGGAAGGAAATGATTTGAAGTACGATTAGGAGGTGGGAAAGAAAAGTTTCTTAGCAAATTGATTGCTGAGGTCGCTTTGTAATTTATAGAAATTGTTAGCCGTAAAACTCGTTTAAAGATCCTACGTTAAAAAGATAAGGGACTTAACATAAACAATATGAGATACTCTTCCCATTGCCAATTGATTTTGAGACGGAAATTCTTGAATATTAATATGATATGAGAGCCCAACAAGCTCAAACGAATATTCGATCCAAAACTAAAATTCGACTAAGATCTGTGAAACCCACAAAGGTTTATTATAGACTTTTGCTACTCCACTCATTGTCAATTAATTTTGACATGAATATTGATATGGCATCACAGCTCAAAAAGCTCAAACGAAAATCAGATCCAAAAATTTGGATTCGGACAAGGCATGTTAAGCATCCCACATTGAAAAGATTATAAGTGACCTAACAACTGTTTATAATAACATGAGCTACTCATTTTATTAACAATTGGTTTTGAGATGGAATCCATAAACATTGATATAAATTTATCAATTGACAACATATGAGGTGCCACGCGCCGCAAGCTTTGTCTATCTACGTGGATCAAGTCAAAGAGGAGTCATAAAAGACGGAACGCACCAAGGCATCCCATACTAGGGGTGTACAAGTCTACCTAAAATACCGAACGAATCGAACTAACGTCGTAACAAACCAACTTTAATTTTTTTTAGTACAACATGTAGGGATGAGGATTCGAACTCATTATCTTTTTACTGTAACTACTTGAGTAGCGACAACGTTTCTTTATTTCCTATGCCAATCATGTGAATCATGTGAATGGGTATTCACGTCATAATTCACACTATGTTAT